AGCATAAGAGCCCCCTGGTGGCTGAAGAAAAAAATCCACGTATAAGCTGCACCGGACTATAAGCCGCATGGTTCAAAGTTCAGGAAAAAAAGTTGCGGCTTATAGTCCGAAAAATACGGTATGTAGTGCCAAGTCACAACATACGTTGTCTCAGGGCACTGTACATGAAAAAAGAACAATCTAAAGAAGAAGCCAACAGACCTTGTTGAATCACTTCATCACAGTCTCCCGTCCTGAGCAAACGGTGGAGAGGAAAAACTCACTATTAACAAGAAGAAACCACCAGCAGAACCAGGCTCAGGACAGACGGCCATCTGTCTCAACTGGCTTGGTTGGAGGACAGGAAAGAGACACAGAAACACAGAAGAACTGGTCCAGGTGCAACTACTTCTGGAAAAGTGTCACCAGAACCTGATTTATGTCTGGACAGTTTTTGTCCTGTTGAGCTCTCTGAATTATCTAAAATAACAGCTTCATTCAAACTATCAACATGTCTGCTAGATCCCATCCCAACCAGACTGTTCAAAGAAGCATTTCCTTTACTTAATATCTATATTTTAGATGTACTTAATTTATCTTTAATAAATGATTATGTGCCTCAGAGCTTTAAGGTTGCTGTAATTAAACCTTTACTTAAGAAACCTGATCTTGGTTCAGGAGTTCTGGCCAACTATAGACCTATATCTAATCTCCCATTCATCCCAAATATCCTTGAGAAAATAGTGCAAATCAACTATGTGAACATCTGGATTAGGGATGCTAACAATTAATCGACTTACGATTAATTGTCGAATAATGATTTGTTTAAAATTTATTCAATTCGATTAATTGAAAATGTCCCTTTAAACCCTATTTCGGTGTAGTTTTGCTTTCATCCAGCAGAGGTGCTGCTACTCTACCCCGGCCCTGCTAAACTGAGCAGGAAGCCGTCTCGGTGTGGGCGGGACCTCAAACGCGTGAGTCTTATTGAATTTTATTTGCGACACAACAATAGTATTGGACTACACCAAATTCGAAGGAAAAGTTTGAGGGCTGTACCTGACCATCAAGTAGTACGACGCTAAAGACAAGAGAGCAGGACAACAGAACGGTAAGCTAACTGTGGCTAACGTTAGCTTACTCTTGTTGAGTTTAACTCCGTGTGAAAGAAAAAAAAAGTTACAGTCACTACAAATATTAACTTGAATTTAATCTAATCTGTGTGACATAACCCGGCCAGTAAACCAATCTAATTACCAGTAACTGACGTCAGATCATGCTGTGTAGCCCAGCTAAGATAGAACCAGAGGCGATATAAACAAACAAACAATTACCAGTACTCATTTGTATCTCACGTCTTTTATGGATATTCTATTTTGTTCTTAGTTTGTTTTTGAGTTAATCTTTATCTTCAAAGATTACCTTGTTTAAATTACAGTTTTTCATCTTCAGGGTGGATTAAGTGTTT